GAACGTAGGAAATCTATTGAAATATTTCCACTTAATAAATTAAAATAAAAATTTATTTTAATAAATTTTAATACTATTTTTTAAATTTAATAAATAGGAAAAAGAACCCATTCATAATCAGATAGTGTCGCTCCTAACGCTCGGCGGCGCTGGCCCTAGCGGCTGCGGCGCGCGCGGTAAGGAGAGGAAAGGAGGCGTATACCACGGAAATCGGCTGAAATGTTCAGACTAATTCCGAGCACTGGAGTACACCATTGAAAGAATAAAATGTTATGACAAATATTACTAAGCAATAATAATTAATAAAATATGATTAAAACTTACGATCGTTTTTCTTTTACTTTGTATAACTTGTCGACGGTTCAGCTAGATCGCGTGCTGTTCCTTGTGCCAAATCTTTTTGTTTTATTTTATCCTTATCGGTTGAATGTTTATTTTCGTGTCGTTGTAGAATTGTTGTGTGAAATGAAACGTTTATACTTTTTTTACAAACTCTACATTTTACAATATCACACTTTTGTTTTGCATATTTGAATGTCCAGTCGAGGAATTTATAAGATTTCAGATCTGATTGAGTATGATTTTGTACGTGATTATATATTTGCTTCGTCTGATTGGACAGAGGTAGTTTACATAAAATACATTCTATTCTTTCTTTGTTTACCTCGTCCTTGAACCGGAAATACTGCCAATTGTTGTCACATGCTTCTTTTTTTTTAGATTCTTTGTTTTTATAAATAAAAGTATGTTTCTTCATGTGTCGTTTAAGCGATTTTGCCGTGATGTATGTAAATTTTGTATCGCACAATCGACATTCTGTTTTAAAATTTACAGGTTTTCTATAATTCTTCAAAAAATGATGCTTTTTAATTTTATATTCCCAAGTTTGTGTATGTAATGATTTTTGCCACTCTTCTTCATGGACTTCTGTAGTATGTTTTTTGAGGTTGTGAAGTTGAATAAACAATTTAAAAGTTTTTGATTTACATTCACATAGCCTACATTTACCAGAAAAATCTTCCACTTGTTTCAAGTATTTCCAAGCCCAATCTTCCGTTTTTTGCCGTCCTAGATTTTTATCTTCTGTCGAATGTTTTTTTATATGTTCCGCTTTGCTTTCATTGGAAATATGCTCAATTGCCGTGAAGACGCATAAAATGCATTCTTCTTCTTTATCTTTTGTAAGCTTATGTAAAAAGTTATTTTATTCAAGAATCAAACAAAGTAAAATAAAGTGGGATCAATGAGGCATAAATCTCGTAAGTGAGAGGTTTAATCAAGTCTTGTCGCACACACGTCACTTTTTCCGACTCGGCTCTACTGCGGCCAGCCTCGTTATGTCCCTTCTCCCAAAAAAAAAGAAACTCGTCGCGGCGACGGTGTCGCGCTCGTCACGCCAAGTCGCAACGTTTCTCGAAAACAAATAATATAGCGCTAAATTTAAATCTAAATCCTACACTTATAATATTTCACGTCTTTGTCCTCATTTTTTTCCTCATTTTTTTCATGACAATAAAAATCAAAATGTTTTTTTTCTAAGTGCTTTGTAAATTTATTATTTTTATCGAACCGCACGTATTTATAAATTCTTTTACAAGATGATACTTGACACTGTACTCGAAAATTTTCCTTCTTACTATAATGTTTTAATACCGTAACTAGCTTATCTCGACACATTGTGATCCGATCTGGATGATAGAATGTATTTAACTGAACGCGATGCGAGGATTATTTCGTTGAAAAGTGCTTGATAGAAGCGATCGAGGAAAGAGACGTACAGTTTTTCTGTTTGTATGTAAATACTAACAACGTTTAAACCTAACAGTTTTAAAGACAAGCGGTAGGATCTGATGCAAAATATGTATAGTAAACGAGCAAGAGCGGAAGAGCATGAGCGCTCTC